CGTCGTCGTCGTCCTCGGTGGCGTCGTGGTCGTTTCCGTCGTCGTTGTCGCCGTGGTCGTCCTTCCTCCTCCTCCTCCCTCGTCGTCGTCGTCGTTCGTCGACGGCGTCTCGTCGTCGTCCCTCCTATTTCGTCGCCGTCGTCGTCGTCGTTGTCGTCGTCGTGTTCCCCCTTCCCTCGTCGTTGTCGTCGTCGGCGTCGCCGTCCTTCCTCCTTCTTCGTCGTTCGCGTCGTCGCCGTCCTCCCTCCTCCCTCGTCGTTGTCGTCGCTGTCGTCGTTGTCGCCGTCGTCGTCCTTCCTCCTCCCTCGTCGTCATCTTCGTTGGCGTCGTCGTCGTCGTCTTCGTCGTCGTCGTCGGCATCGGCGTCACTGTCGTCGTCGAAGTCGTCGGAAACGTCGTCGGTGTCGTCGTAGTCGTTGTCGTCGGTGTCGTCGTAGTCGGTCTCAAGAGGTTTGCAAACCAAGTTGCGGGTGGGTGGGTGGGATGTTTGCGCGAGCAGTGGAGATGACGACTTCAAGTTCAGCAGAGTGGATTGCACCGCATAGATTGCATCACCAAGATTGCACCGCACAGATTGCAAACATAGATTGCACCACATAGATTGCACCATGTAGACTGCACCGCCAAGCTTGCACACGACAGATTGCACAACATAGATTTTCCCACATATATTGCACAACATATATAGCACAACGTAGACATGTGTTGCACCACATAGGCTGCGCCACACATACTGCGCCACATAGAGTCACAACTTATGCTGTACCACATCGGTTGTACCACAGACATTCCATCCGAAAACTATTATTCATATTGCACAACATAGGCTGTGACACAAAGGTTGCACCACTTAGGCTGCACGACATAGCTTGCACACCGCATATAAGACAGCATAGTTTGCACCACATGGATTGCAAAACGTACATAGTACCAAATATAATGGACAACGTCTTTGCACCACATGGACTGCACCACATGTTTTGCCTCACCAAGAGTGTAAAACATGGATAGCACAACCTAGATTGCACCACGTCTATTGCACACCATATGTTGCTAGAAACATACTGTTTAGGGTCCACGCTGGCTAATGTGCAAGTAAATGTTAGCTAGCGTGGACCCCAAACAGTAGGCGTTTGCAGTCTATACGGTGCAATGTATGTAGTGCAATGTATGCGATGCAACCTATGTAACACAATATGCGCGGTGCAATATATGCGCTGTAATCTATGTGGTGCAATCTGTGCGGTGCACCATATGTAATGCGACATCTGCGGTGCACTCTGTGCGGCGCAATCTATGTGGTGCAATATAAGCGGTGCAACCAATGCAACGCAGTCAATGCGGTGCAATCTACGTGGTGTAATCAACGCGATGCGACCTATGCAACGCGGTGCAATACATGCGGTGCAATGTATGTGGTGCAATTTATTTTGACTGTCTTGAAGCTGACCTCTCCACTGCTCGTGCAAACATCCCATCCTCCCACCCGCAAATTGGTCGCAAGACTTCTTAAGACCGTGACGGCAGGTACCACATGGCACTTGGCGACGACAGCGACGCCGACGACGACAGTGACAACGACCACGACGACTACGCCGACGACGACTACGACGACACCGACGACGTCTCCGACGACTTCGACGACGACGACAACAACGACGACGACAACGACGACGGCCACACCGAAGACGACGACGACGACGACGACCACGACGACGACGACGACGACGACGACGACGGCGACGGCGACGACGCCGCCGACGACGAGGACGACAACAACGACGTCGACGACGACGACGACGGCGACGACGACGACGCCGACGACGACGACGACGAAGACGACGACGACGACGACGTCGCCGACACCGACGACGACGACGACGAGGGAGGGAAGACGACGACGCCGACAAAGACGACAACGAGGAGGGAGAAGGGAGGACGGCGACGACGCGAACGACGCGAACGACGAAGAAGGAGGGAGGACGGCGACGCCGACGACGACAACGACGAGAGAGGAGGGAAGACGACGACGACGACCACGACGACGACGACGGCGACGAAATAGGAGAGACGACAACGAGACGCCGAAGATGGCCGACGACGACGACGAGGGAGGAGGAAGGACGACCACGGCGACAACGACGACGGAAACGACAACGACGCCAAAGAGGACGACGACGACGACGACGACGACGACGGGGAAAGACAGAGGACGACGACGGCGACGGCGACGACGACGAGGGAGGAGGGAGGACGGCGACGACGACGACGACGACGACGATGCAAGAGCGCGCGCGCGCGCACGCTTTTGTTGAAAATCCGTGCTGCGAAACCATGTGTTTTTGTATGTTTTTGGGGCACCCGATTTTGAAATACATCCGAAACCGAAGGATTCTAATGGATTTCGGCATGCTCGGGCGACGACGCGCGCGCGTGCACTTCGCCCCCTTTTTTTGCAGAGGATTCTCGCGACGGCACGCGCGCAAGGGCGATCGAACGATCTCGACATGCGCGCGCGAAGCCCGTTTGGTTGTACTGTTTGAAAATATTGAATAACCGATGGTTGTCTTAAAATTTCGCAAGAGCGCGCGTGAAAATCCGTGTTGTGAAACCCTGTGTTTTTGTACGTTTGTTTTCACACTCGAGTCGGAAATCCTTCCGAAACCGAGGGCTTGTTGAAGGATTTCGGCATGCGCGCGCGACGACGCGCGCAGAGATGATTAGAAACTTCTGATTGCTGATAAACGAGAGCGCGCGCATTGCATTTTTTGCAGAAGATGGCGTGGGGGGTCGATACTGGCCTGGCTGGGATAGTATGGATTCTTAATAAGGATGGACGAGTGTGCAAAATCATATGTAAATTACCATACGAAAAGGTGTACCGTTAACTCCAGGGGGTAGAGTCTTGTCTTCTTGTAGAAATGAGAATCTACAAGGTGCAACCTCTATCATGCTATCTGTGCAGTGCAGTGACAACCTATATCTGTGGGTCGGTTAATTTCTGTGCGCAATGAGTTGTCCACTCCACTGCTCGCGCAAACATCCCACCCAGCCACTCGCAACTTGGTTCGCAAACCTCATGCGGCGGCTATTGCGATGAGTGCTTGGCGCTGGCTGGGGCATCCCTGCGGCCGCGCCAACCCGCGCATGCGCGCGCGCACCGGCCAGGTAGTTTGGCGCGACCGACGCGGCCGCGGTGGTGCTGACCGCTCGGCCCATCCAGGCGGGCACTTGAGTGCGAGTCGGCGACTTGGGCGGGTGCGGTATCATGGCAACGTCGACACTTGTAGACACAATGATGATAGTAGCGATCTTGGTGACGATGCTGACAGCGACGACGGCACGGCCAGTGACGGCGCCGATGCCGATCACGCCAACGACGATGACGGCGTCTTCGCGTCGGTAATGAAGGTTTTGAAATTCGACATGCGCGCGCGACAGACGCGCGAGAGTGGCTCGCATGGTGCTATTTGACACGGACCGTGCCACCCCAGCACGCGCGCAAGGGTGTTCGAACGATTTCGGCATGCGCGCGCGAAGCCCGTTTGGTAGCATCTCATGAAAATGTTGAAAGACGTATGGTTCTCTCAAGAATTCGCAAAAGCGCGCGCACGCTTTTGTTGAAAATCCGTGTTGCGAAACCATGGGTTTTGTATGTTGTTGGGGCACTCGATTTTGAAATCCTTCCGAAACCAGAGGATTCTAAAGGATTTCGGCATGCGCGGAAGACGACGCGCACGCGTGCACTTCGCCCCACTTTTTGCAGAGGACTCTCGCGACGGCACGCGCGCAAGGGCGTCCGAACGATTTCGACATGTGCGCGCGATGCCCGTTTGGTATTGTTTGAAACACTGTACCCGGTATTCTTAAGAATTCGCAAGAGCGCGCAAACACGAGTGCGCGCGCATAGCATTTGTTGCAGAAGATGGCGGGGCGGGGGGGGGGCGATACCGGCTTGGCTTGGATAATACAAATTCACAAGTAGGATGGACATTGGGTCACAATCCTATGTGTTTTGCATCGGCTCCCTGAGGGTCTTTAACCCCGGGGAGGGGAAGGTGGTAGAACCTATTTCCTTTTTAGAAAAGAGAATCTACGCAGCGCATCCTATGCAATGCAGTCTATGCGGTGCAATGCATGTGGTGCAATCTGTGTAGTGCATTCTATGCGACGGCGACGACGGCGAAGGGCGGCACCGCCCGCAAAAGCCGCCACTCGCCCCGAGCGGCGGTGACGGCGACGGCGGCGACGGCGGCCACGAGCGGCACCGCCCGCAAAAGCCGCCACTCGCCCCGAACGACGGCGACGGCGACGGCGACGCTGGCGACGGGCGGCACCGCCCGCAAAAGCCGCCATTCACCCCGAGATGGCTAAGCCAAGTAAGAATCCCTAAGTCTAAGCACTGTTTGGGGAATAGAAGGAAGGATTGAGGAGGACGGAGGTATTGAGGGAGAAAGGCAGGGAGGAGGCAGGGAGAAAGGGAGGAGGCAGGAGGAGGAGGCTCCCTAGTCGTTCGCATCGCACTCTGGTATAGTCTATGTTTACGACTTGCAGCTCGAGTTCAGAGACGCTGCGCAGCTGAGCACTGAAAACTTTGAGCAACGTCAAAAACATAGGAGTGAGAGAGGCAGGGAGGGAGGGAGGAGGGAAGGAGGAGGGATGAGGAGGGATGAGGAGGGATGACGAGGAGAAGGAAGACGACGGCGTCAGGAGCGGGCCCCTCTCGGGGCTGCCGACCCCCAGAGAATCAGTCCGCATCGCATCGGGAAATTGGCTCGAATCAGGCGCGCGGGATCGGGCAGCGTCGGCACGGAGTCGAAATCGAATCGCATCACCTGCGCCAGGATCCACAACAGCGCCATGCAAGCAAGCATCGGGCCGCATCGGACAGCCGGAACACCAGAGCCAGATCGGATCGGGCTGGCCAAAATCGACACCGCATCGGATCGCATCGAAGTGGGCCCCGCCCCGGCAGCTCGCTCCCCTCGCCCGGCGCCGTCCGAGATCTTGGTGTCGAGCTCGTCCCGGAGCGAGGCGCCCTCGGCGATCGCGGCCTGCCGGCCGTGCGGCGGGACCACAGCAGGCAGAAAGTGAAGGAGCAGGAAGGACTGGGAGGAGGAGGAGGAGGAGGAGGAGGAGGAGAGGAGGAAGGGAGGAGGAGGGAGGAGGGAGGGGGGAGGGAGGGAGGGGAGGTGGGCGGAGAGAGGGAGGAGGAGGAGAGTGCTCCCTCCCCGCCCGAGAACGCGGGGCGGGATGCCCAGCCCAGAGAGCTCTCGGACCCTCGGGGGCCGGACGGCCGCGGCGTGGAGGGTGTGCGAGGCGCGTCGGGAGCGTCAGGTCGGCGCCGGGCCCCCCTCCCTGGTGCACGAGAAGCGCGACAGGGGGGCGGCGCCTGCGGCGACCCGCCAGTGGGGGCCAACGCCGATCCGAGAAATCCGCCCGGAACTCCTCCTCCTCCTCCTCCTCCTCCTCCTCCTCCTCCTCCTCCTCCTCCTCCTCCTCCTTCTCCTCCTCCTCCTCCTCATCCTCCTCCTCCTCTTCGAGCCAGGAGGAGCGAGGATCGCCGTGGCTTTCGATCCCGACGAAGACGGCCCCTCGCCACGATCGATGTGAAAGATTTGCACCCGAGCATCGAACAGGACGGTCCTCAGATCCACGTCAAGCAAGCAGTGGGCCGACGTCAAGGCAGCGGACCAAAAGAACATCTTCCATCATCTCCCTCCACCATCTGGTCCTCTCCAGTCAGGCTGTGCAGCTTGACAAATGCGGGACGCACAGAGACATACTAATAGTAGATGTCCTGCTTGGAAGCGCGCGTCCGACCCGAACATATAGTATACCCATCTTGTAGTAGGTCGTTTCCCGAGCGGTGTGGCCAGAAAGCGCCCGCCACGACGCATACACTACAAGATTTCTCGGTGCGCGCGTCGCCCCTGAGGGGGCGACGCACATATCGTATGAGTATGTTGGGGTGACGCCGAAAATACCTTTGGCTTCAGCACACGGGCCGACGTTCGAGGACCGAAGCTGCCAGACTTTTCCACGCTGGGGGGCCCGTCTTGGGCCTCTCGGAAGGCCGCTCGCCGACCCATCGGCCCGGCTCCCGCCGTCGGCCAGCGTCCGATCCTGGGTTCTTCTGGGGGGCAGGGGGGATGCTCGGGTGCGCCGAAGGGAGGGTGGCGGTGGGTGGTGGTGGTGGTGGTGGTGGCGGTGGGTGGTGGCGGTGGGTGGTGGTGGCGGTGGGTGGTGGTGGTGGTGGGTGGTGGTGGTGCTGCTGCTGGCGGTGGGTGGTGGTAGTGGTGGTGGCGGTGGGTGGTGGTGGTGGTAGCCGTAGGTGGTGGTAGCGGTGGTGGGTGGTGGTGGGTGGGTGGTGGTGGGTGGTGGTGGGTGGTAGGTGGTGGGTGGTGGGTGGTGGTGGCGGTGGGTGGTGGTGGTGGTGGCGGTGGGTGGTGGGTGGTGGCGGTGGGTGGTGGTGGTGGTGGTGGTGGTGGGGGGAGGTGGGTGGTGGCGGTGGGTGGTGCTGGTGGTGGTGGTGGTGGGGGGGGGGGGTAAGCAAATCCCGAGCAGGGCAACACGCACCGCGACCAGGATGATGCCGACGACGACAACGACGCTGACGAAGCGCGCAGAAGATCCGCACCGAAGCAAGAATTTGGGAAAGGGCCCACCCTGCGGGATCGGTCAAACAGCACATCGTTGCAGGATGATGCAACCTCCCCTGATAACATTGGGTGCCCACTCTGGGGACCCACCGGGAGACACTCGCTCCACTCGTGCGTCGAAGCTGCGTCGAACGTCCGTCGATTGAAGGTCGACCCTGAGTCGAACCTGAGTCGAACCTACGTAGAACTTGGGTCACATTTGAATGGAACTGGGGTCGAACTGGGGTCGAACAAATCCGTGAGGCGGGCCCGAGGAGGGTCCCCAAAACGAGCATCTGAAGCACAGGCCCCTACAGAGCTTCAGAAATCAGGCTGATAGCATGTCCTTACTCTTGCGGGGGCAGCGGCTGTTCTTCCGGGGGGGAGGGCCCCGTGTGACGGCGGCTCTTGCGGGGTGGGGCGCGTCGGGGTGGGTGCGCTCTGCGATCGCCACAGTACGCGCGCGAGCAGGGGTGGGGGCGGGGCAGCGATCGCGACGCGCCAGAGGAAGAAGCACGTACTTATATATACATATATATAGATATTTAAATATGTGTGTATATATGTATATAGCAAACAAACAAACAGACAAACAATGTGTTGTTGATCGGCGGGTCGAGAGCGGGCCCCTTCTGGTTAAGAGCTAGGCGGCGCGCGCGAAGCACTAATTGGGGAGACAGGGCGCGGGCGGGCGGGGCCTCAGGCGGCCGGAGGGTGCGGAGTACAGGCGGTGCCGAAGAGCTTGCACAGGAAAAGGTACGCCTTGGACAGGAGCTGGGGGCGAAGTCCCGGAGGGAGAGCGAAGTGGTGTTGCCGTCACCGGCGCGCCAGGATCACCATCGTCGGGTGCTGCGTGGGGAGGGCCGTGACCAGGTCAACGCCCGTGAGGTAGAGGAAGACCAGGTAGGCGAAGCGCACCAGGTGCCACCGACTGGTAAGGAGAGGCCCAGGAGATGAGGATGACCACGAAGGCGATGTGCAACGTTGTGCCACCGGAGAGGCGCGCACAGCGGGACCACCGCCTGCGCACCCCATTGTGGTGTAGAGAAATTACCACGCCTGCAATGCCCTGGACGAGAGGCTCGCATAGCGGGACCACCCCCTGCGCACCCCTGTATGGTGTCGAGAGAGTGCCACGCCTACCATGCCCTGGACGACCGGAGCCCATAGCGGCCGCGCTCAGGGACACCCCCTGCGCACCCCCTGTGGCGTCGAGAATGTTCCACGCCTGCAACGCTTTCCGACCCTGGCACGCAGAGCACCCGCACCCCCACCGCACACCCTGCGGTGTCGAGAATGTGCCACGCGTGCAGTGCGTGTGCTGTGCGTATGTGTGCTGCGTGCGCGTGCTCTACGCACGCGCGCGCGACTGCATGCTCGTTTGTGTATGATTGTCTGACGCGCGCGCGCGAGTGCAAGTGAAAAGGCGAAGGAGAGGAGGGCGGTGCGTGGAAGACGCGTGTGCGACGCAGGATTGGAAAAAACCAACGCCCCACGAAACATGTGGAAGAAAAATCAGATCCTTTGAACCGCGAACTTGGTGGCAAGCCTCAAGTGTCCAGCACCACGTTACGCATCGGGCCCCATGTCAGTTTCATCGGTTTGGCCTCTTGCGATGCAGCAAGTGTTGGCGCCTGGACGCATTGAACGCAGCACGATTGCGTTTTGCACAACGCCCCTGCGCCTTCAACCATCCACGCGACAAACAAGAACGAAAACTAGAATGACCGACACGGTGGTCGCGGATGATCCACGACCAGGCTTCCTGTTTCTTGCCCACGCCGCCGAGCGCTCGCGCTCGTAGCGTCAGTCGGCGTCGGCCTCGGCCGACGCTGGTGAGCGCCCCCGCCCGCTGGAAGGCCTCCACGGGCAGTGAGAGCTCTAGGTGCTGGACCAGACTTCCATATTCTCCTCCTTCCGCTCCGCAGCCGCAGCACGCACACATCTTCGAGGTGCGTGGCCACCTGGCCTGGGCGTGTCGGCCGACGCGGCTCCCGCCCTCACCACGCAGGGGGATAGGCCAGGGGCCGGCTGAAGGCACTGCTCAGCACCCAGGTGGAGGGCTCGCATGGCTTCACGAGCTGGCAGTCTGCAGCTCAGCAGCTCAAGGGTGGCTCTGAGCCAAACTGGTCGTGGATATCTCGAGCAGAGGATCGACTGCAGAACTGACTCACCCCAAACTTGACCTTCCTCGTCGAATCTACGGGGAAGACGTAGCATGTCTCATGGATTCGACGAACAAAACCAACTGTGGGGTAAATTCGCCGGCCCAACGGGCCAGAGGCGTGCTAAGATCTCCGGTAACTGGTTAACAATATTCTAGTTCGCGCGCGCGGAGCCGCCCCTGGGGGTCTCCGGCCGAAAAGTACCCCGGCAGGGTCCCAGCAGACTCGGGTCAGAGATGCCGGACCGGGCAATTTTTCGACACCCCTCACGAGGATCGTGGCCTCCGAGGGGGGAGCCGCAATCGACTACCCCCCTCCCGCCCCAAGAGGCCCCCAAGAGCCCCCCAAGAGGCTCTGTGGTCCCCCAAGACGCCGCCAAGGAGCCCCAAGAGACTCCCAAGAGGTCCCCAAGAGGCCCTAAAGAGGGCTCCAGGGCCGGCGGAATGAGCGAAGCGATTAAACAACTCATGTCGTTGATCCCCAACTCGACTATCAACACGTGCACGGCGAGAGGCAGTACACAGGGGGAGGGGCGGGAGGGGAAGGGCCATCGCCCCCCTCTCTGGCACCAGGGCTGCTGCCGCCGTCGCCGTCGTCGCCGCTACACGCCCCGCAGAGGCACAGCGGCAGCCCCGCCTCCAAGCTCGCCTTGTTGTCCTCCCCCGTCTTGATCGACGCGGTCTTCTCGCTGATGGTATCCTGGAAAGGGATGAGCCGTCACGGGAGACTCTGTAGACCTCCGCGGCACTATCACCAACGTGACTCCGACCGCATTTGTCCAGACTTACGACCATTCTCACCCTGGCGTCCAGAATGCGTCCCGCACCCGGTCCAGATGCCAACCAGATCCGACGAAATCCCCACGAGCTCCCCAACACCGAAAGGAATTCTGGGACCCTCTCTGATCGGCTGCGAGCCCGGGGGGGGGGGGAAGTGAGCAGGGGCGGGCCCTCTCAGGAGGCTCGGAAGCCCGCCGGCCTCCCGAGGAGGCTCCCGAGCATTTCCCGAAGGACACGCGAACAAAAACAGCTCTCGGAGGGCGCGGGGGGCCTCTGGGGAGGCCCGCCGCCCTCCGAGAGGGCCTCCTCCCTCTCGCTTCCCCCCCTCGTGATCCTCCTCGTCCCCCTCCTCCTCGTGATCCTCCTCCTCCTCCCCCTCCTCCTCCTCCTCCTCCTCCCTCCTCCTCCTCATCCTTCTCCTCCTCCTCCTCCTCCTCCTCCTCCTCCTCCTCCTCCTCCTCCTCCTCCCCTCCTCCTCCTCCTCCTCCTCCTCCTCCTCCTCCTCCTCCTCCACAATTACTCAATATGAATACTACTCTCCCTCTTCCCCTGATGACGGTTTGAAAGTGCTCGACCCCCCCCCCGCGTACTGTTTTTTACACACAGGTTTCCCCGGAGTTGGGTTTCGCCTGCATTTTTTCCAAAATGCTGCTCTCGCTGAGGCGCCGGCCTCATTTTCGGGCCCCGCTCGTTCCGAATCGTGCTCCCGCTGCAGCGCTGGCCTCATTTCCGTGCTTCCGCTCGTTCCGAATCGTGCTCCCGCTGCAGCGCTGGCCTCATTTCCGCGCTTCCGCTCGTTTCGACTCGTGCTCCCGCTGCAGCGCTGGCGTCATTTCCCGTGCCATGCCACGGCATGCAATGCAATGCTAGGTTGATACTACGCTTCGCGGTGCTCTTCTACGCCATGCCATGCCGTGCTCTACAATGCATCGCGTACCCTTTCGGGATCATTGCCCTGCTCGACATCCGACTGTGCGAGTAGAGAGGGGATCTGCGCCATGGTAAGGGATGGGAGGGAGGAGTAGGATGTCAGATATGACGCGAGCGCACCTAGCTTGTCCTCCTCCCCCTCCCCCTCCTCCTCACTCCTCCTCCCCTCCTCCTCTCCTCCTCCCCCTCCTCTCTCCTCCTCCTCCTCCTCCTCCTCCTCCTCCTCCTCCTCTCCTCCTCCTCCCCCTCCTCCTCGTGATCCTCCTCCTCCTCACACCGCCCCCTCCTCCTCCGCCTCCTCCTCCTCCTCTCCTCCTCACCCTCCTCCTCCTCCTCCTCCCTCCTCCTCCTCCTCCTCCTCCTCTCCTCCTCCTCCTCCCTCCTCATCATCATCATCATACATCCTCATCCTCATGCCTCATCCTCATCCTCATCCTCATCCTCCTCCTCTCCTCCTCCTGCTCCTCCTCCTCCTCCTCCTCCAAGACTGGGCCCCAAAGAGAGGGGCACAAGGCTGGGCGGCGCGCCGAGGGAAGTCACCTCCCCCTTCAGTGGCAGTGCATGGGAGCCTCCCCAGCCATCTCGTCGGCTCCTGCGAGTCGACGCGCATAGACGCCAAGTCGACGCTAGATCGACGCTGATCGACGCCAAATCGACACTCAGCGACGCTAGCCGACGCGAGATCGGCGCTGTCTCCTCATCTCCCAGACGCTAATCGACGCCAATCGACGCTAAAGACAAAATTGAGTCCCATGACTTGCTACCGAATCCCCCTTCCGCGCGCCGCCCAGTGTTCACTTGTTATCCTTGCTCTAACGAGTAGCTCCGAAACGGTTCTCTCGCACAATCTGTTCAAGGGGACCTCCACGAGGACCACTCTTCTGTGTCGACGTACTGCTTTGTCTTGGGAAACGCTACGAAATCCATTGAGAGCCCATCCTGCCGCAGCAGAACCACCCCGAGAAGGGAGAGGGGGCGGACCTCCCGGAGAGCAGCGGGGCTCCTCGGAGGCCCTCGGGCCCTCTGAGAAGCCCCCCCCGCGGCTCCGGAGAGGGCTTAGAGCAAGGGCTCCCAACTGCGCGCTTCGCGCTGCGCGAAGCGCGAAGTGCGAATAACTTCGCGTTCTCGCGCAGCACCCCAGGGGAGAAGAGGAGGATGGGGAGGAATCGGAGCCGAACCACGAAGCGCGAAGCGCGAATAACTTCGCACCCTCGAGGGCGCCCTTGTAGAAAGACTCTCAGAGGCAGGAGACCCTCTGAGGAGGGCCGCCCAATCTGCCGTCCCCCCCGGGCGCGCCGCCGAAAAATGGCCCGAGACTGCCACCAGCTGGCACGAGGGAAACGCGCTGTGGTGGACAAGGGTCCCAGTCCCCACGAGCTGCTTTTCATCCCGAGCAGTCTTCTGACAATCCTTGGGTCCGAGGAGGGCCCCGTTTCGTCCAGGGCCCCTTCCCTTTCCAAGCATCCGACGATGTGATTGTTACAATACACAGCCCAAAGGGTCTTGACCTCTCGAGATAGCTATTCTCCCAAGTCCATGTTTGATGGTCCCAGGGTCCGCGAAAACGATCCTGAGAATCCGAAATCGAGAAAACGCCTGGATCAGACAAAGAAAACAACAAACGGAACAAACAGCAAGAAAGCACGCCACAGGTCTGGGCTTCATGCTTCGGCGGTGGACAAACCTCCCTGTAATAAACTCCCCCTTGGTGAAAACGGCCTGGGACCGAAACCGACGGACCTGGACCCGCAGAAATGACGGCCGCGACGCCCTCTCGCGAACCGAAGACGGCCAATTCCTCGACGCGACAGGGTAGGAGGTCTGTCCACCCCCACAAAAAGATAAGCAGTGCACTACAACGGGCCACGTGTCAGGGTAGGAGGTCGATCCGCCTCCGAATGCTGGCCCAACGACGGCCCACCGACGGGCCAAGAGGGCCCCCGCAGGCCAGAGAGCGCACGGGCCCTAAGGGGGGCCCTCGGGCC